ATCATTCACTCGACGACTAAGCCTACGGGATACTTTTATTTTGAGTTAGAGCAAGCACTCACTCGACCATTACTCCTACGGGCTATATTTCTTCGAGTTCGAATCATTGACTCAACTAGTGAGCCTAAGGGCTACATCACTTCGAGTCTGAAAAAACAATCAATCATAGAGACTACGAAGTCCAAATTTGATTAAATTATTAAGATCCTTGTGAAAACATTTGTAAGGCACGTATAAAGTCTTCACAAAACAGAAGCAAGTCGGCCAAGTTGTCTATATACAAAATTGTCTTCATGATTGATTACAAACGTAAAAAATTAAGAACTAAGCTTCCTGGTCATCCTCGGGGGCATTTGCTTCTCTGTCAGGCTCTTCCCCATCCTCGGATCCGCTCTTGCTACCGTCATTATCATCATCATCATCGCCATAAGAAGTCAAGGCTTCAGCTTCAGCTTCGAGCTCTTTAGCCCTTTTTATCTCTTCAGTAAGGTCGAAACCTCGAGCGTGTATCTCCTCGAGGGTCTCCCTCCGAGACCTACATTTAGCAAGTTCGGCAACCCAATGTGCTTGAGTGTCGGCAGTATCCGCTGCCTCTCGTGCCNATCGGCAGTATCCGCTGCCTCTTGTGCCTCCATCTGAGCAGCCTCGGCATCAGCCCGATACACGGTAATGGACTTATCCGCCATGACTTTCGACGACTCAACCTCTGCCTTGGCCTCAGCAAGCCGTGCTTCAAGCTCCTCGATCCTCTTAACTTGAGCCGAACCCTTTTGCTTGACGTTTCGAAGCTGAACATCGGCCGATAATAATTTGGTCAAAATGGTTTCTTTTTCTGCAGCCAGGTGGTCGATAGTCTCCTTCCACCGATTACATTCAGCTTTGATTTGATCAACTTCTTCCCGAAGTAACCCGATCTCTTCAACTTTTTGCTACAGCTGAGACAACGAAGGGTTAACTTTCACAGTTGAGTCAAACTCATACTTTAACAGAACGAGGCTCACCTGCTTATTGAGTTCGGCCTCTTCTTCACGAACCTTAGCCAAATCCGCTTGGAGGTCCTTTATAGCCTCGTCCTTTTGGCTGCAAAGAAGCCGCAGGGATTCTCTCTCCCCCGAGACCTTTTGAATCTCGACATCACACTGGCTAAGGTCGACTCAAAACCTACTAATGGCCTGCACAGTAGGGAATGAACACAAGTCAAGTTTGGAAAAGAACAAAGAAATTAAGTATAGTAAAATCATTACCCGAGTAATGAAACGTTGGGCCTCTTCTAGTAGAAGAGAAGCGTCACCAATATCGGAAGCATCATCGACTCTAGTAGAGCAATCTCAAAAAGGGTCCCCTACACTAGAGCCTCCGCCCATATCGGGGGTCTTCAATTCTCGAGCTTCCTTTAACGCCTCCTCAGAAAAAGTTGGAAGGGAAGGCGAATGACCCACTGTCATAGCCCCAAGCGAATCACTCGGGGTGCTCTGATCAAGACTCGGGATTCCAGGACCGACCCGACCGGTACAGCCGCCATCGGCTCAGGAGCTCTGGTGACCTCGATAGCTTTCGCAGATCAGATCACCAAAGCTGAGGCATCATCATCTTCTTCTTCTTCTTCTTCTCTCAGTCGTTGGACCGAGTCAATCGGAAGAGCAATTGCCTTCCTCCTCACCCTTCGAGTTTTGGGCTTGGGATCCTCTGACCAAGAGGCAGCTTTTCGCTTCTTATCTTTCCCCGGTTTCGGTACCGGGGACTTGGTTCCTTCTTCACCGCTCGAAGGCCTCAAAGCGGCATCCTTGGTTACACCTGCATGAAAGGAAATCGGTAACGAATGGAGCATAAAGAACACTTCGAAGGAAACGAAAAGTAAAACCTTACCATGATTCTTGGCCTCCCATCTACCTTTTGCCAAATCACGCCAAGCGTGTTCGGCATAAGAAAAAGTCGAGGCTAACTTTCGAACCCAATCCTCGAGGTCGGGTACCGCTTGTGGCATCCAAGGGGCAGCTTTATATTGGAGAAAGACATCAGAAAAAATTGGGAAAAGATACAAAAAGCAACGTCTTACGAAAACTACTTACGGTCGAAATTCTATTCCCCGAGGAACGACATCTTCTCTTCCGGAATAAGGTCACGGGTTCTCACCCGAATATAACGGCCCATCCAACTCCGATCCTTGTCTTCGTCGATGCTCGACATCAAAGCCTTCGATGCCCGACGATGAAGTCTGATTAGTCCTCGAAAGATTTGAGGCTGATACAATCGTATGAGGTGATTCAGGAAAAAATCCAGCCCCCCGGCTTTGATAGAGAAGAACCGAAGTAGGATTACTATACGCCATAGAGAGGGATGAATTTGACCGAGGGTGACCTGATATCTTTTGCAAAAATCAATGATCACCGGGTCGACGGGACCCAACGTGAAGGGATAAGTGTAAACACTTAAAAACCCCTCCACATGGGTGATGACGCTCTCTTCAGGGGATGGAATTTGCAACACAACCTCGAAACCCCAGTTGCAGTCTTTCCTAACGGCCTCGAGATGACCCTCCGTTATAGAGCACATGTACATCGACACATGCTCGCATCGATCCGGAACAGATGAAGGATTCTCGACCTTAAAATCGATCTTCAGAGTACACGAGCCGGGAACATAGTCGTGGATGGACGGCTCCACCGGCGCCTTGTCGCCGGACGGCCGTGAAGAAGAAGCTTTCTCCTTCTGGGGTACAATTTTCGAAGTTTTAGCCATTGATATGAGAGGAATAAAGGCAAAGGAAAGTAAAAAATTGACGGCACCAAAACTCTAGTGTAGATGGCTCTAAAACAATGAAATAGAGAGAAAAGATAAGAGAATTTGGAAGAGTGAAGGCGTAAAAGTGGTAAATGTTAGATGGAAGGGTTATTTATAGGCTCGCATCATGACGGTTCAATATCAGAGGTGGCCGACCACCATCTGACAAGCATTAAATACCTTGAAAGACTATCACATACTGGTTCAATCGATGGGACAACTATCACATACGTCATAATCGATCCCTGTTAAAACGTCAGCTTATTACCCGATCGAACAGTCGAAAATCATATCGATTCTCACTGCATCCTTCATGAGAATCGAGGGAACTATCTGTATACGGTCAAAATAAATTTTGGCTTTCCTACGTTCGATCGAGTTCAAGTGGCAAGAAACCGGAGTAGGATTTTGGGAGTAAGTTCCGAAGATAGTACAAACGAGCCTCGAGTCCGAAGGCTGCTCGAGGAGTCAACTCGATAATCTTATCGAGCCCGTTACCAAATCGATCCGCAAGGCATTGCTTCGAGGTCAAAAATGCACCACGCTCATCCTAAAGGTCAAACTCAAGCCAAGACCGAAGGGCCGACCCAGTAACGAGTTCGAGCCAGCATCGAGTTCGAACCAGTATCGAGTTCACAGACAAGAGCCGTTACAACCGCACCAAGAGAGAGAATCTTGGTGGGAATCGAGGAAGAGACAAATCATCATGGGTCCTCCACTATATGCTTTATTTTATTATTTTGTTATAAAGAAAGTAATGACCATCTATTATAAAAGAGGGGATCCTTGTAAGCTATGCAGAAACTGAATAGATTGGAACAAAAGATCTTTTCTCATATACAAAGATATCTTCTTGTGCTTGTTTTACTTCATCTTATTCATTCTTTCTGTTTATCATTCCCATTCTTATAGTCAAAATACTTGTATTGTTATTTTTGTATTAAAGGGTATCACGTATCGTTAGAACAATACATAAATTTAATTCAAAGGAAACAGTGGTCTTTGCCTCATTCAATCCCTGATTTTAAACGCATCGCCTTCCTTATCTTCATGAAACTTTCTTTGGCACTTTATTCTTTTCATTGTCTCTTTCTTCTTTCCAATTGCATTGCTTTTGCATTTCTAACTTGTACGGATAATTTAGGCAAAGAGGACACGAGTTCGAGCTGTAATTTGGGAATGAAAAAAGTTTTGGTATGGGGCGCTTCTCTTTAATGAATTTTATGCAATGCGAATCTAAGTTAATCGAGGCTCATATCGGAGATCAATCATTGGATGAAAAAATGATTTATGCCAGAAATGACATTTTGCTTAAATGCCGCTGCTTTTATGTCCTGGACTAAATATAAATCATAGGAGAAAAAAAGTGAAAGGTAGAAACATATTAATGTGTTACCAGTTATCTTGGATCTACTTTTTTGTGAACTTTATCTAATAGTATATATATTGTTTGAATGCCAGTTTCTTATTAAGCTCTCCCACTTGATAGAGTATTTATTTTCTCAAACATAGTACAAATTTATTAAGCTAAAGATTCTGTCAACTAGCCACATACTAGCATTTACACACCCAAATTAAAAGAAAAAGAAAACATGTAACAGGAAAGGTTTAACTTTTACTAATGAAAAATATTTTTACACCATTAGATCATGATGAATGTAATTATGTAATCATAAATCATGTGAAAAATTATTTATAGTGTCAATGAGTAAAGATAAAATTAAAAGAAAAACTTAGCGCAAAACGATAAAGGTAGAAGATAGAGTAACTTACAGGGTTTAAAGTTGAAACTGCCAAATGCGTCACTAGCTCACAAAACTTCCCCTATTTGCTGAAGCAAAACGTACCCTTTTTACGTATCCTCAACTTATTGGTCCTTTGAATTCAAACATATCTTTAATTTGCCTTTTAATAGAATAAGAAGTCACATTTAATTTCTTCAGCCTCTATTCACTTCAGATTGTTAACATAAGCCCTCCAACTTTGAATCTTAAAAACCACAACAAAAACAATAACGTGACTGCTGCTAACACCCAGATATCATAACCTCCCAATAAACATAAAACACGCAACCCTCCAAATACTTTGCTGTTTAAAATACTCATAAATTAAAAGTAAAAAATTACTAGTCCTCCGTAGTATACGTACATGTACTCCTAGTTTGTTTTCTTGTGCCAATATTAAGTGGAGTAAAATTATATATAAATGGCTCTGCTTCACCTCTTCATCTCTCTCATTCTCAGACTCCACATCTTCTATTTCACCTCCTACCTCCACCCAAAAGGGGAAAAAATAGTTTCTTCAATCTCTCAAAACTTGCTCTTTTTCAACCAATTTCTTTGTCCTTCAATTAATTTTTCCCTTTTGAAGTCTACACAAACTTTTATCTGATGAAAAACTCGACTTGTAATAATAGCCATGTCCAATATACCAACTTCTCTTTCTGAAATTTGCCATACCCTTTTCAGGTTATTAACTATGTCCATAGCTGATCCCTGGCCTTTTTCTTAAAAAGAGTACCCCACCATAAAACAACTCCTTTCCTTACAAATTTTTCTTTCTTATATTATTTTTTTAAGCTTTTCCTAGTTATACAGTAATTAAGCATGGGCAAGTTCCGTGGTTTTATGCTCAAACACCGGGTCACCACACTTTTCCGATGCATGTTTCGGCGACGGCGTTCGACGGCGAGGTACCGCCGACTGGACCCAATTCCAAGTTGGGGTACAAAATCCATTTCTAGGCTCTTGAGCTGGACCCAACGCCTTAAGACAAGAGCCAAGGCTATATGCAACAAAGCTCATTGTTCCAGGTCGGGTCGGAGCTACATGCAAATCGGGCAAGACCCGATTGAAAAGGAAGCTGTAACGGTGCCTAAAGGTCACTTGGCAGTTTATGTGGGACAAAAAGATGGTGATTACAGAAGGGTTTTGGTTCCTGTAATATACATAAATCACCCTTTGTTTACTGAGTTGCTAAGAGATGCTGAAGAAGAATACGGGTTTAATCACCCGGGTGGTATCACAATTCCTTGTCGGATCTCGGAGTTTGAGCGTGTCCAGACCCGGATCAAACAGGGTCGGGTCAGGTAACCCGGACAATGTGAACATGAAAGTGATGAGCTGAAAGCGTGAAACAGTGGCATTTGGATTACTACGATGATGACGATAATTATTCAGAGACAGTTGAGAGTTGTTTTAAGCATTTTTGTAGTTTTTGTTAATTACACCTTTTTTTTTTTTTTTTTTTTTTTTTTTTTTTTTTTTTTTGTCTTTTTTAAATTTCGGAGGTTTCACTTCTGATGTAAGAGTAGTTTATTGATGTACAGTATAGAGGAAACTTCCGATCTCTTTCCAGTATATTTTGCTTTTCTTGGCCTTTTTTGGTGTGTGTGCAAATAGTACCATTTTTTTGGTAGGCGTTCAGTTGCTAATTACCTATCTGAGTATTTGGTTAAGCAATTTCATGAATAAGAAAACCATAATTCACTAGTATTTAATTATGAATGGATAGTGAAATGTAAGGTGTGGTTTTGGAACCAAGTTTGAAAGAGAAATTAGAGAGCATGGACTAAAGTTCTGCAGTTGTTGCTAGCTAGTTTCTAAAGTAAAAAAAGCAGAATAGAAAATTGATTTTTATTTTTCTTATACTAAACCTGCATAAGTTATTATACTAACTTTTCTTTAATATTGAGCTTGATGTGTGTAATCCTCATGCTTGATTTTTTCTTTAGAAATTACTAGTAAAAGAGAACGTTGACGTTTCTATTAAATAATAATTAGTTCATTTTCTTCCCCTGGATAATTAGGTCATCTGCTAAGTATATTAATTGTAGTCCAGCTGTTAAGATGACAAATTTATTTTAAAAATGTATTGTTAAGAAATAATATTTTTGATAGTCAGTTTGCAGAATTTTTATGCTTTAAGCATTTGCAACTTGGTCAGGATTGCCCTTATTCCTCTTTTAATGTTTATCCTTTTGAGAAAGAGAGTTTTCGACACTTCAGCCTCATTTTCCTGTGAAATGGAAAGGAAAAGAGTTCATACAATGAATTGCTTTCATTTGAAATTGTTTTCTGCCCGGACCCCGGTATACTATACTAATATGTGTAGGTTCTGTAATTTGAGTGAGATTGTCATGGTGCAAAAGCAGATTTGGTCCGATATTTCCTCGCTCGGGTTCTTTGACATCGACTCGGTTGCCCGCCCCGGGATTCTAACGATGAATGAAGCCTCAATTTCGAGGGGCCGCGTGACTTTATCTCTTTGAAGAAGGACTAACTCTTCTTTATATACACAATTTGATGTACGAAATTGGAAGAAGAATTGTTGCTTTCAAACGTGAACCAGGTCCAGGATTCAGACTCTCCCTTAGCAACGGGAAAGGCGTCTATCTATCTGCCTAGCTTTGGTAGATTTTCCCAACCCAATCCACAGAAATTCCATGAATCCCTTGGTGGATAAGTCCGACGACTCAGCAGATATATGTCTTGGAGCTTTCAAAGGCCTTCAAAGAAAGAAAGAACTGAACTCAAACTTTCTGTTCTATCTCGGACCCAGCTGCTACTGAGAAAGTATCAGGAAATACGAAGATTCAAGAGGCAAGCAAGGGATTGGATATCGATATCGCTTCATACCTTACGGTGCTTACACCTCTCGCCTATCGGCACGACGAAAAGCCAACCTGATTTTTTTTATTCGTTTGACGAGGGAAGACCTTAAATACTAAATTAATTAAATTACACCTATATCGCGAAAAAGAGCTGCTCTAACTTTAGCGCGCTGTTTAGTAAAGTCTCGCTTTTTGATATGAGTAGGTGCTTGCTAGGGCATGGTACTTTTCGTTCTTCATTCGAAACTAACAAGTATCGGGTCGGGGATTTCTATCTCCTTTTTATAGGTTCTACGGACCGATACCTGCTGCTTCCACTCTACTCGTACTAAATACGGGTAATTCCCCGCCACTTACCCAATATTTTAATAGAGGGACAGCCAGCAGTGAGGCCATTGGACCAATAAACAATAGTCACTTCTGGGAATTTAAAACTCGATTTTCTCCATAAATTCTCCGATCCAAATAGCAGAGAAATTTCCATATTTATACTTTTTCTTGTTGGAGGGGCGACATTACGTTAAACTACCAAAGAAATTAGGGTAAACCAATGTGATCATGACATTGTAGGTGCTTGCGATGGGACGGATGCGACTTTGCTATGAAACTCCTACTACTTACTTTGTTTGATTCAAAAGGCGAATAACCCCCCTCCCCCCCAACTAGTTGTATGGGGTGGGGTGCTTGTGAAAAGCTGCTTCTGATATGAATAATTCCTAAAAAAAGGCAAAGCTCGGTATTTGACAAAGATCTTTCTATCAATAGATAGGAATGAGTGTTCGATATAGGGGATATGATCCATCTGCTTTTTATCTCATAATTTTTTTATTTCGGACAGTCAAATATAAAGATTCTTTGTTAGCTCTTCGTGCCTCCTTGACTTCTCAAACTGAACTAAGACTGTTCAACTAGAGTATAGCCGGAAGGAGCACTTTTGTATTGAAAGTATTTTCAAATAGCAATCCGAATACTCCTTCTTTATAAAAGGTTTGGAACTTTTCCTTGAATGAAGAAAGAACTCTTCTTTATATACACAACTAGATGAATAGCCGCATCGAATAAAGAAAGTAAGAGGAAGGAAGCATCTCTTTTCCTGGTGAAAAGCAAAAAATTCCTCTACTCGAAAGCCGTTGCTGATATGATCTTTTCTTTCCTGGGCGTGGGCGAGACAAAGTCTTCTTAGTATTTTGCTTTTTCGGTGATATCTATAAGAAGGAACACGGTTCATATAGCACTTCTTTTGTTGAGAATTCCTCGTTCCCTTTCGTGTGAATTCCCCAACGGCACCTCTACAACTAAGTCAGTTGAGCTCTTTCGGCTCCTAGACCAGCTATTATCTTTCCTCCTGTTGGTTACCATAAAGACACCGAGGGATATTGCATGCTCTAGTTTTGGGGATGTTGTTTACACTACTATTGGTAACAACTCAAAGTGCCAGAACCATTATGTAAAAACTTTTGGGGGGTTACAGATCTCTTATACTACAATCGATCGACAGAGCAGAACAACCAAAAAAAGAAGTTAAGTTAGAAAGTTGTATGATAGGTGGTAATTATCTTGTACGGTTCGGCGGGGTAATCAGCGTACTCCGATAAGTGGGGGGAGGGGGAGAATCTTTGGCTCTATCGAACATATAGGGCGGGTTTCATTAATGAAAAAGAAAACAGGAGGCCCTTCATCTGCTAGCATTGTGGTTTTTCAGGATCATCTTCTCGAATCGTATAACTGTCAAAAGTGAGTGACTGTTCATCGGAATTGTTATAGTCTGAATACTCATAAGGTAGGGTCGACGCCCGCCTCCCAACTCTCCCTGAAAAGGAGGTGATCCAGCCACGCCTTCCAGCACGGCTACCATATTAGGACTTCACTCCTGTCACTAGCCCTGACTCGGGTATCCCTTCCAGGTGCAGTTGACGTACAATTTAGGTAATATATGGATCGCCCTTTCCTGTCCTGGAAGTTGATCCTTGTTTCCCAAAACCAACGAAGGTTCTAAGAGGCAAGTAAATGGTGGAACCTCATTCCGGGACTTATCTTGGGCCATTATGTTCCCTTATCTCCCCTTAGAGGGGAGGGGTGGAACTATTGAGGGGTTTATGTGAGACAAAATCACAATTCTCCGATTTAATAGAGTCAGCAAGATCCGGGTGACCAGAGTGATCAGCAGCTTGATCAGTTTAAGGGGAAGTTTCCGTACCTCAAGGGGCACCAATCTCGCCCGACAAAGATCTATCTGCGCGAAGCCGACCTATGGATAGGAAGAAAGATGCAGGAAAGACATATGGAAGAAGAAAGAAAAATTTTCTTTGGGAGTATGAGATAGGCAGACGGGGATTACGTAGCCGAACAACCGCTGGGGTTTCCAGCAGTGGTTTGATAACGATAACTAAGCTGACACGCCGGAGTTGGCTGTTGGCATAACATGGCGGTTCTTTACCGCACCGCAGGCAGAGGCGCGATAGCGTTCGTGGTGGTGCTTCAAGATTCAAATGTACTGCGTCCAAGATCAGAACGAGCTTGCCGGTGGACCACTGCCATCCCATTCTTGAGATATATTTTATACTTCAATACCATACAAGAGGGGAGGGGAGTGATTTGTGTGGTGTCTGATTTTCGCGTGCACTGAATTATCGAAGGACCTAGTTCTTCTATGCGTTCCTTACACTATAGTTGCGGAATAAATAATGCAGAAAGTAAAGAACACAAGGATTTTTACGTGAAAAACACCCATCTCAAAATGTGAAAAAATCACGACCTACTACCAAGTAGAATTTTTCCCAAACACTTCACTACAACTCTGAGCCAACAACAAAGTTTACAAACTCTTGCAAACCTAAGGATTACCTCTAAACCTTGTAGCAACCAGCCACAGGCTGTTGCGACTTGTTCAAGTTAACTCTAACTTGAACAATACAACTAGAGTTTACAACCTCTTGCAAACCTAAGGATTAACTCTAACCCTTGTAGCAACCAGCCACAGGCTGTTGCTACTTGTTCAAGTTAACTCTAACTTGAACAATACAACTAGAGTTTACAACCTCTTGCAAACCTAAGGATTAACTCTAACCCTTGTAGCAACACGCCACAGACTGTTGCGACTACTTCAAGTTAATTCTAACTTAAAAGATACAACTCAGGTACTTAGTACAATTTTCTTTTTAGAAAGCTGAAAGGTAAAACTCAAAACGCCTACTACACTTTGAACTAGAAATAAAGAAAGATACATAAAACTCTTTATGGATTTGTTCGTGTAGATTCAGGGTCACACTCTTAAATCTCACAGGAATTGCTCACAAAATGCCTTGCTATTTTGCTCTCAATTCATGCTTAACTTCAGTATGTGTGCATCACCTGTAAAAGAGAACATAACTGATATTTATAGAGTTAGTAGAATAAGGATTAACTAGAGTTCTAATGCTTTACTTTTCCTTGGTGGAAGAGTTCAAGTTATCTTCAACTTCTAACTCTTTCCTTATCTTGGATAGAGTTCTCTTCACGTAAGGAGTCCTGCTCCTTATCAAATATGCTACTTTTCCGTTCAGGGATTATCAGAAATAACCACTTATACTTATCCCTTTCATGTTCATGCCTTTTGATTGATTCTGCCCGTCACCCGTGTATACTGTCCATGGACCTGGTTTATGTATGTGTTCCTTTGTCAATCATCAAAACCAAAACTGATCAGGTCAACAAATTCCCCATTTTTGATGATGTCAAACTCAGTGCTTTTCATAAGCATGGAACATGTTTCAACTCAGCTCAACATTAACACAATGTTAGAACACTTTTCATTTAAAGTCATAAATCATTAAGGACCAGAT